ACAACTGATACAACTCAGTAGGTCTACAGATATTTCTTTCTCTTTATTAACATTATTTGTATTCCGGAAGCACCCCGTGAGATCCTACCTGCATACAAGTTGGATACCTTGTGTTATTATTATACTATCATACTATGGGTTAAAAAAATTAATACAGAAACAAGAGTCTGTAGAGAGCGCGTAGACCATTTGATTTTGAAAGGGGGAAGTGGCTTGCAGATTTTGGAAATAGATAATCTGAACCTCAAAATGTTGAAAACAAAGAATTTGTCCTTGTCTAACCCTCCCCGCTTTGGGGGTCAAAACTGTTATTAGTGAAGAAGAAAATATGTAATATATAATTTTCTGTATTGATTATCTTGAAAATAGTTAATTTGCCCTTCACTGTCTTGTAAATAAATAATCTGACTCGAAAGATAACATTCAATCCCCCCTCCCCTCTCAACAACAACAAAGGGACAATAAATAATATTTATAAGTTACCATCCTCATGTCTCCAGGGGCTGTGGTTGAGCCACAACAGGTAAACAACCAAGTTTTACTTAGGAATATAGTGGACATAAACTTGTTGCACTTCATATCTGGAACATTGATAGAAAAAGTTTGTAGGGGATGTTTCAATATTCATTACATGTAACTGATCTTTTCAAATTAAATACAGTTGTCTGCAACTACACTAGAAATAATCAAAAGGCCCATGGTTGCAATGCTCACCTTAGTCACTATGGCCATGTTGTTCTTTATCAGCAGACCACCCCCCCCCCACCCATTACACACACACACACTTTCTGTGACATTTGCTTTCAAATGCGAAGCATTTCCAAATTTCCAGTGAGTGTACCAAGTAAATATGATAACCTGAAAATGTGTGAGTTAATTTTTACATGTGTATGTATTATTTTATTATAACTTACAAATATGTTGTTAACAACATTGAAACATGAAATAGATTAATTCAAAAATACAGTATGTTCTCTTAAAGTAAGTCTTAAAAGATTTTTACTTTTGTATGTGTAGGTCACAAGTAAGTCTGAGGAGACCAGCACTTTTAGCATTGAGGGAAAGTCTGCATTGTCAAGTTCTTTGTGTAGACAGAAAAGAGATAAGCAATGAAGTGAATGGACCAGACCAGGATTCTAGTCAGGGCTCCTGAATTAGTAGTCATGTGCTCTACCAATTGAACTATCTGGCCACAAGAAATTGAACCCACCTGAATGCCATATATGGATCTGTGGAAGTCCGAATTATTCAAGTTTTATCAATCAGACAGGTTTTACTCCACGTATGTCATGTGACCATAATGTAACAATTAACTGTATACACTTCAGCAAAACTGCAACCCAAGAAGAAATTATTGTCCTATTATAAAGCTTCTGGCTACAGAAATTTTTTTTTCATGTGATGTAAGTATAGATTTTTATCATGTTTATTGATACTATTGACCTTATTCAAACTTGTAGAATATCATTCTCCTATGTAGAGTTGTCGTTTGTTCCTCTCTCAGACATGCATTTATGAGCCAATGGTAGAGAGTGGTAGAATATTTCACATGTATAATATTTTCTACACAATACATTCAAATTAACAGCATTCAAGTTTATTACTTAGATTTTTTTCAATCCTAGCTCCCAATACACTAGTATTTGTTTCATTTTCAATTCATCTATAAGTAATATAAAATTTTTGTTTTTTCTTTCATTTTCTTTTATGTTGTTCATATTTACTTTACACTTTCTTGAGTGAATGCTAAATGAAAAGACTGACTGTTGCCCAAACCCTGACTTTCTTTTGAAGAAGCATTGGAAGTTTGTGCCACATGCATAAATTGAATATAACTTCAAGGTGTGTGATGACCATGACCCAAGGATTTGCTGAAAATAGAGGTGATTTTATTTTTAAAAAATCAATAAAAATTTATAATTCCTGCTCGACTATATCTTGTATTTGAGAACATTAGAGGTTCATACTTATCACAGATATAGAGCATGACCCGCGGTTATGACTGACTTTAAATCAAGGTCATTTTTAAGCAAGTTAAAGGTAACTGGCAGAAAAAGTGTGTTACCTTTGTCCAATGTATCATTTTCAAATGGAGTTTTATTGGAAGTTGATACTCAACACAAAGATTGCTTATGGTGTTTCATGACTTTATCCAATGTCAAGATTACTGGAAGAGGTATGAATAGGTATGGATAAGTATTGGAACTGGAAACTTCATAGATTATTTGTAAGCTGAAAGTACATCATAACCTTGATCCATGATATTGTGGCAAGTTCAAGGTCATTGGCAGAAAAAGTGTTCATGTTATGTCCATAATTTCCTAGTGAAGAAACAATAAATATCCACCTTTTATTTAAAGATTTCTGATGAATCGAGAATGCATCTTTTCTTTTTTAACCAGTATCAATTTGGTAATTGCAAGTTCAATATCATATTTAGAAAATTGGTATTGGCATTTTGAGAAAAAAAAATTGTAAAGGGGGTATAATTTTGGAGCTTGTTCACAGTAATTGAATTATATAGACATAGTTCAATTATAGTATACAGGTAGCATTAGCCATTATTGGAAGGTATATTTGAATCCTTAATGATAAAATTATTGCAGATTTAGATTTTACTATCTGAACTTGTGAAGACCTCTTAAAAAAAGTCACATAAGTAAAAGTATTAGAGCAACTATGCTTTATGATATTACAATTTTTCATAGCATGTATTTCACAGTTTAAGAACAAGTACCAGTACAAAAAACATAAGTATGTGTATGTACATGTAATAACCTTTTTATTTTGTATTCAAATAAAATAAAGATATTGAAAACACTGATACGTTGTTTTATTGACTTGGGAATAAATTGTTTTGTCATTGTTAAAATGTGGGTACATGCATATACACTGTACCAATAAGTAAATAAACCTTTTAAAAGAATTTTTTGACATTTAAAAACAAGTGCAGAAAGTCTAAAAGTTTGTGCATCACTTTTCATGGCCTGGAATTCTTCGAACAGGACAGATTTCAGATGACAAGAAAATTATTTCTATTCTGATAAGGTAAATTTTCAAACTTCCAAATAGAAAAAAAAAAACAAACAAGTTCAAGCTATAGATTTCCATCAAAAGAAGTGTTGCAATTATGACTTGGCAATCCATTAATTACTTTTACTTTAATTTTTATTTCCATTTCACACAATAGAATTTGTATAAAAATCAAAGAATGCCTTGATCCCTTTCCTTGAGTGAGATGAGTAAAAATTCAAATTAGATCCAACTAGGTAAGCATATTTGTATAAAAGACAAAAGACAAAATGTAGATTGACCCACAGGTGCTCCAAGGGGATAGGAACATTCCCCCCCACCCCCACCCCCATATATTTAGGGCTTCCCGAGTTATTTTTTATGATTTACTTTTTTAAGCATTTGTTGATGTATAATGCACTATAAAAATTCACAATAAATGCAAATAAGCTATGTACATGTATAAAAAAAAATATACCAATAATATAGAGAAGTTATCATTATTTTGGATACGTATATAGCTTATTTGCATTAATTGTGAATTTTTATAGTGCATTTTACATCAGCAAATCCTAAAAAAAGAAATAATGAAAAATAATTCAGGGAGCCGTAAATGTGTTTTTTTGGGGGGTGGGGGGTGGGGGGTGGGGGGGGGGGGTGGGGTTGATATCCCCTTCCTCTTTTGAAATCGTTGCAACGGGCCTGTTTGGGGGTGTCCTGTCCCCAAGCACCTGTACATTAAACCATGGATATCAGAACCTAATGGTGCTTACTTATAGAGTTGGTGGGTAGGAGGAAATCTCTCCAATTTTTCCAAAAACAACATTACTTACCCCTATTAAAAATATTCAGCAAAAGTTCGCTGTTCAACGGAATAGACCTCCACCCGATTTCTCTAATTTGATTTCGACCAGGATGTTAAAGAAGCCTTTAAATACGACCTATTTTACATTATAACTTAAATAAATTTGACAGTAATTGAATGTTGTCTTGATTATTAAAATTAGAAACAGTTGATTATTTCATAAGGTGTGAAAATTCGGTCCATTGCAGTTGAAATTATTGCTTAATTTCGTTTTCCTGAATATAAAGCCTTTAGCATGTTTATCAACGAAGTAGTCATTATCCTATTGATGTTTCAAACAAAGGATTAAGCGTTTCTGTCGACATACTTCTTTCTGGGGTTTGGCTTGCTGAATCTATTCCAGAGAGCTACATGATATTACATTACATGTACTTCCTGCCATGTCGCATCTAGCCTCGCTTACGTATTATAGGAAAGGAATAATTACTTCATTTTAAGGATAACTAGAAAAGAGATACCGCTTTCATAAAAAGATCTCAACATTTCAAAAAATCTAAAGAGGAATCTCTGTACCTTACTCAGATATCTCTTTTTACGTTGTTATAGAGATATCTCTTTAACTTTAAGAGATATCTCTGTCGCTTTAAGAAATATATCTGTAGCTTAAAAAGGTATTTCTCTACGTAAAAGATATCTCTCTTGCAAAAAGAGATATCTGTTTTGTTAAAAGAGATATCTCTCTAGGTTATAAAGATATCTCTCTTAGTCAAAGAGATTTCCCTTTTAGTTAGCTAAAGAGATATCTCTTAATAAAGAGATATTTCTCTTATTGAAAGATATTGAAGTAAAAAATCATTTTACGAGATAAATAGTCAAAGGGCTTGCCATATTAATTCGATATATCATCATCTTCAGCATTTTCTTTGATTAAAATCTCAGACACCAAGTACATTTGCATGGCGAAAAACACAACAGAAAATCTACAACTAGAATTAATATTACGTATGCTCTAGGCTTACAAATTGAAACTTTTACATTGTGTATAATCTGATTCTGTGAATTCTTAATCTTAGTAAAATGCAATTTATGTTCCAGAAAATACAGTACTAAAGATTGCTCCATTGGCTGAGGAATATCAGATTTCATTGATCAAAAATAAATGCTAAAAATTTCTCTCGAAGTTTGCAAAAGCACCGCTAGTGACGTGGAAAAACACATAGAGACATCTACTCTTGTGGAATATACTGCATGCGCTGTAGAATTTAACATGGAATCTGTACTTCCCTCTGCCACACAGTTATGTGCAGGATGCCCCGTAAAGTCTTTAAAACAAGCAAGAATCGACACTAAGGTTTCTGTAGATATACAAAAAAGGATTGCGGAAGGTCTAAACTCTTTACTAGAGAAGGAATTGAAACCAGACCTGATTGCAGGTATTATACCTTGAGAAATGTTTTTTTTTTCCGAAGAAAATGCAGTTTATGCCATCAGACTCGTTATATTTGTGTAATATTTTCTTTTTAGGTTCAGGAAAAGATTTTTTAAAGATTGTAGTGTTGTTGTGGGACACTCTTAACTCGACTGATAAAATGAAATACGAGGACAGTCTCGTTAGTTCTTGTAACCGTCAGTCGGGGCCCAGTTCATCACAGCCTTCTGCTATATCCTTACACACACTTATTGGATACATCATTGCTGCTGAAAGATTTAATCTGGAGAATCTCTTGACGGCAGCAATTGACCTTGCATCTAAATGTCGCTTTATGAAGTTAAGAAATGAAAAAAGATACCGGAGAATTACATAATCGTCTAAAACAAAAATACTTATAAAAAGAATGGAACTCTTTGAGGGTCATTTTGATAGTTGGGAAAGTATGACACTGTCAAAATTTAACAAGGACTATAACAAAATACAATATTGAAAATTTCTTTCAGAAATTTGCCTGATACATCATACAAAATATCTCTTTAGAATACCGTAGCTTATTATGTCAACATTATTTCCTTCTACTGAATAAAAGAAAAGATTTAAAAATCATATTCATAATAATGAGGCACCTGGGTATTATGGATACCTGTGCATTGCCTTCCTTCACTGAAACACATTACGTCGTCGTTTTTTTCTTGTAAAATCTGAGGATCCTGATGCTTCTCTATTTGACCCAAATGCAATTTTATTTGACTATAGTAACCTAGAATTGGGAATATAGTGACTATATTTAGCGTTTTTTTAATGAACGGAATTTGATCTCTAACATAATGATATGTAATTAATTACCTTTAGACAAAAATAGGTATATGGCTATAACAAATCATGCTTACCTTTTGCACTAGAAATTTTTTTTACAGTTTTTGTTTAAATTTCGTTTTGGCTTACCTGAGAGGAAGGTCTTTTCCGACCTTTTCCCAAGAATAGCTTATTCTGCTTAACATGCCGAGAAGCATCCTTGGCAAAAAGGGGTTAAAATTTGTTCAAATGAAGGACCATGTCCTCTTCAGGGGAGGAGATACTTTAAAAGTAATGAAAATTTAATTACGTCTTTTAAAAATCTTGAGAACCACTTGGGCAGAAAAGTTTAATCTTATGAGAAAGCTGAATTACAATGAAATATGAAGATCAGTAATCAATCTCAAAATTCATTGAAACAATACAAAAAGGGAGCAGAAAACACGGATCTATAAAACATCAGAGCATAAATCAGGGCCATGGAGGAGTATGCATCTCCTTAATTAGTTCAAAACATGAAACCTTGGCCACCGTACACGATCACAGTTTTACATACAATGATGCGCATTGAAGCGGTAAAATTTGAAACGTGTTTAGCTTTCTTTTAATGATTGTCACATAATGGCACGCCCATTTTGCCAGAAAAAAGCGGTCAAATAGTGTATTCGAATACCTGTATAACAGGTAATCATTTCAAAAATACAATAGCCAATCAGATTGGCAGTCTACATAAATACCGAATAAATACGTGGTTGATCAATACCTGTGTTGTGACAACTTCAATAAATATAATAAATTCCTAATTATGTACACATATATACAAATATATGTATATATACAATCAATATTACTTTCTCTCTTTAAACAGGATTTATTGTATTTGTTTTAAAATGACGTATGTATATACATTTCCTATGTGTAATTTTTAAAAATATGATGAAATTTTAATTTCTTAAAAGACAGAATATTACGAGATTTTTGCTCCAGCAGATGAGGATAAAGCGCGTTTTACAATGTGCCAAGCATTTTCCCGCCAACACTCAACACCAAAACAAAGAAACTGCAGTGGCTGAACTAGAGGGGGTTGTGGGGGTTTCAACACCCTCCTTTGGATATGAGGGAGAGAGAGAGAGGAGAAGGGGGTCCAAAATATTTGTGAAGAAAATTAGGTGTATGTTGAAAACTAAAATCCGCGTCTGCAATGTCTCATACACTGTTTTATTTCACCGGGATAAATTAACAGTTTAATATCAGATATATTAATAACAGATCACGTATTTCAGTTTGTTGCCTCATAATAGGAACAATTGATTTGCCGCCGATTTTTGACGTTTGCGTCAATATGTTTCTTGTTGTAGAAATATATAGAAATTAATCTTTAAAAACTTTTCTTCTCAAGAACTGTGGTTGGATATGATTTTTTATCCAACGAGTTGTGTGTTTTTCTCCGAGCCTTGGCGAGGGGATAAAACACACAACGAGTTGGATACATGTAAATAGAGGATATTCAATGTTTTGTAGTTGGATATAAAATTTATTTCACAAGTGGGACAGGATTTTTTTTTATATTTTCACGAGCACGAGTGAAAATATAAAACAAATCCTGTCTCACGAATGAAATAAATTCCATATCCAACTACAAAACATTGAATTTTCTGTTTGTTACATTTTCTTTGATTTTACCTTTGCTCTGTCTTTTCTAAGCACATTGTCATAGGCTGTTACGTCATAGCTTAGCGGTTGAGACGTCATAGCTTAGCAGTTGTGCGATTGAAAACATTGTAGCATGGATTTTTGGGAAGAAATTGGCAGTTTTAGTTCAGTTTACTATTTACGGTTTAGTTACTGTCTCTATCTCTATCTCATTACAGGCCAGAAATTATTTTTACTTACTTTGTTATCCTTTGACACTGAGAGAATATCACTTTGGTATCCTTTCATTGGCCTCCTATATATAGAACGTTGTCTATCAGGAAAACACTTGAAACTGGTGACGAACACAGAGATACACAAACAGCGGCAATGGCTGTAAGGAGACTAAGGTTACTGGTGATTTACAAAGAAGGATTGCGGAATGTCGAAATTCTTTACTGGAAAAGGAATTGAAACCATACTTTGGTGAAGGTATTATAATTTGAGAAATGATTTTTTCCGAAGAAAATGCAGTATATGCCATCAGTATGCCATCAGTATAATATTTTCTTTTTAGGTTCAAGACAAGATTTTTTAAACATTGCAGTGTTGATGTGGGACTCTTTCAACTCAGCTGAGAAAAGACAATACGAGGACAGTCTCGTTAATTCTTGTAACCGTCAGTCGGGGCCCAGTTCATCACAGCCTTCTGCTATATCCTTACACACACTTATTGGATACATCATTGCTGCTGAAAGATTTAATCTGGAGAATCTCTTGACGGCAGCGATTGACCTTGCATCTTATTGTAGTTATAAGTAATAAGAGAAATGATGAAAGATACCAACAAATTACAGAATCGTCTAGGACTAAAATACTTATAAAAAGAATGGAATCACTTGAGGAACAATTTTATTTTTGTGGAGAAATATCAATATCAAAATATAAAGAATCCTTTAACAGAATACAAAATTAATTTTTTTACAGATATTTTGCATGTTTACATAAGACAAATTAATAAATCTGTTAAGAATATCATAGCATGTTATTTAAACAAAAGTAATTGCTATTTTTTCCTTATATTGAATAAAAAAGGGTTTTAGAAATGTAGAAGTTTTTTTTTAATGAGCGGAGTTGATTTCTAATTTAATCTTTTTAATTTATTACCCTTGTACAAATATAGGTATATTTAACTTAATATATCATGCTTATTTTTGTACACGAAAATACCGGTGTATATATATATATATATATATATATATATATATATATATATATATATATATATATATATATATATATATATATATATATATATATATATATATATATATATATATATATATATAAGTTTTTTAAAATCCTTCTTGGCTTACCTATGCCAAAGGGTTTTCAGACCTCTTCTCAAAAATAACTGGACATATTTCAACCAAACGTGTCAGGAAGCATCCTTGACTGAAGGGCTTAAAATTTGTTCAAATGAATGGCCATGATCTCCTCAGGGGAGATATTTATAAACTAATGAAAATTTATTTCTGTCTTTTAAAAATCTTCTACTTGAGAACCGTTTGGCCAGAAAAGATTGATCTTTTATGAAAACTTTAACCAAGCTCAAAAGTCCATTGAAGTAATACATAGCGGTAGCAGGGAAACATGGACCTTTAAAACATCAGAGATCAAATCAGGTGCCATGGAGCAGTAAGCATCCCCTATCATTTTTTCAAATCATTAATCCTGGGACCACTGTTGCCCATCAAATACTATGATGCGCAATGAAGTGGTACAATTTTCCCTATGAATCATTTTTTAGTTTTCTTTTGAACATTTGAATGTTAATTGTCACAAAAAGACAAGCCCATTTCGTGAAAAATAAAAAAAAAACGATATATTGGTTCATTAGAATACTTGTAGAACAGACATTCCATAAATACAATAGCCAGTCAGATTAGTAGTCTACATAAATGCGAGCCTTACAGAATAAATGCGAACTCATTTAATACATAATTATGCTGTGACAACTTGAAAAGAAAAATTAAAAAAATCATAATAATGAACAGTCTATAACTTTTTCTCCTAACTTAATAAAAGCTTCATATCAGCAATAGTTATGTCGCTAGCCGCAAAGACCGTGTGTCTTAAAACAATTCGTCGAATATTGCTTTTTCGTTTCTAAGATATGGGTGTGTCATTATGCAATAATTGACGTTCGAAAAGAAATACCCAAACGATCCATTCAAACGAAAAAAAAAAAACAAACAAACAAAACACAACTTTAATGCACATCCGCAGGTGTTTTAGATTCAAGATGTGCCACGATAAGCAATCGAACTATACGTAGGAATATATTTGAGGAAAAAATTAATAAAAATCTTCTCAAGAACAGCAAAGCCATGGTTAATCATAATACATTGTAATTTGAAAGCATCCTAAGTGCGATCATTGTTTTACCTACATAGGAATCTAAAGCAATTATAAATAAAGAGTGTTGAGTATGTTTTTGCTAAGTGTGTCTTTTCTAGTAGAATTACAAACCTGTCCTGTACTTTTTCACACTTGCTATTACATAGATATTTTTTTCAAATTTTAATTGCGTATACATCAAATTGTCGCACACTTTTCATTACATTATACAATAATGCCATGATTATTATTTTAGCGAAATTTCAATCAGGATGTAAGGATTTTTCATTTCTTAAATAAGTGTTAAACAACTAAGCTATTCCTTCTGCATTTCATCCCTTAAAGAAAGACTGAAATAAATCTAAACTTTATATAAAAAAACAGACTTGTTTTAAAGTCATTTGTAATATGAAAATTATTTTGATTAGGTATATTCCAAAAGACTAATTAGTACAATACCTCTGAAAAAGGTCATTATTTGTTTGAATGTTTGTCTGTTGTTTAACGTCCCTCTCGAGAATTTTACACTCATATGGAGACGCCACAACTTGCCGGTGGAGGGCTACAAATTTTGGGCTGTACTTGGCACTCAGGGTCATTGAGCAGTGAGGGAACTTTTTCGTGCCAGCACCTACGGCGACACGGGACCTCGGTTTATACAGTCTCATCAGAAGGACCGGTCTCTACGTCCCGCTGTGGGATTCGAACCTGCGACGTAAGGATCAACTCCTTACTCTGCGACTCTAGAGCAAACGCTCTAACCACTGCGCCACGCGGGCGACCTTAATTTGATTAAATGGTTACTTATAAAAAAGTCCACAACTGGGAAAAATGTCGAACATTAAATCAGAAGGTTAACTTTAAATTTCGTGAACTCTCTGGATTCATTTTCAATTTTAGATTTCAGGCTGTTGTTTCTCTTTCGAGCCCGTTTTCTTTTTAAAATTCAAGCTTTTACTTTACATAATATTGTGCTTTGATGTTCGAGGTCTGACAATTCTATTCATAGTCTCACCAGCATTGACTTCCACAGTAAGATAGCAAGTACTTTTCTATAATCTTGGTGGAGTGTTAGAATGCAAAACGTAAAAACAACACAAAATGTAATAAACGCAGAAAGTAAAAACAAAATGCAATAACATTCTTTTAGAATTATTACATTCTGCGTTATTACATTTTGGTTTATCTCAACGCAAAATGCAATAACGCAAAATGTAATACAAAACTTGTTGGATTATTACATTTTGCGTCAAGATTAAGCAAAACACAAAAACACAAAATGCAATAACACACTTACTGGTCTATTAGCTTGAGAATGATTTTCACACCTATGAGCATGTATGGGACAAGATAGACCGGAGAGTGATACAGCTTTGTCAGTCACAGAATCTAGCAGAACTACAGGGAGACCTAGTCAACACATGGAATAACTTTCAATAAAAATCTCTCTTCTTCAATTGTGTGAACTCTTTAAGGAGCAGATGCCTTTCTGTTAATTCGTTTGAATGGAGGATAATGCAGTATTGTATGGAAGGGAATTACCGCCAAAAGTCTATTTATCTTGCTTTTATTCTTATTCTGTCTACTTCTTTATTCTTTATTATTATTGTAACTATATGTTACTTTATTGTTTTTGTATTCGTCCTTATTACATTTCACTTGGACCTTTTTTCATTCTTCATTTTGTCCTTACTTCTATGTTGCTTTATTCTTGTAAATTCGTTCTTCTTTCTTTTAAATTGATACAGTTTCTTTAATTAATAATTATGATCATCTCTATTACAAATGTAAATTCAGTCACGCAAACCATGAAACGCATTCAATGAAGACGAATACAAGTATTGTGAATTTAATGCGGCATTATAACGCTAGGTGACAAGGTGTTCGCTGCGAGTGTTGGTAAAATTAGGTATGCATACCCGGGCTTAGATTATTCGAGATTTTTCAATTTTCTGTCTTAATACTTTATCAATCGAGCCCAAATTTTCAAGTTATATTAGTTTGACATCAGAATAACTCAAAAAAAATATTTTGTCAATGTCTCGTTTGGCAAAAAATACGTAAAATGTCGGATTGATATTGCCTACCTATTTTAGCAAATTGTAAATCAAATATCGCCAAAAATAATCTAAAATATTGAGATTTTCAAAATATAAATACATGTACACATGTATACATGTATAGATATTGACAATTTTTACAGCGAATACAGATAAAACTTAGAGACGTAGCATTGTTTTTGAAAGGGGCAGCCAGAGAAAAAAATACCTACCTAAAACTCTTGACAAGCAAAAACAAAAAAAACAAAAAAAAACAAACAAACAAATAAAAACAAAAAAGAGAGGAAAATTCTTCAAATTCTTCAAACTCGAAAATTCTATTTTTTGGTGGAAGGGGGTCCAACATCTTCCAAATTCATTCTTTCAAAGTTTACTCATACATCACTATGTACATGGCCCCTATTTGATAAAACTGCAACAAAAAGTGGGAGGGGGGAAAACAGACTTTCATTGAACATTTTCAGTAGTAAAAAGTTATGGCTAGAAAAATGTTGGTGGCAACCCCCCCCCCCTCCCCCCTGCTACCGGTGTCATATAGTGAGACTTTCCCCATAGTGAGTTTTCCCCCCGGAAGTCTGGCTATACAGTGAGACTTCCCCTCCGGGGGGGGGGGGGGGGGGGCAATGACTATATAGTGAGTCTTCCGTCCTAAACGGCCATAGTGAGATTTCCCCTTCCGTGTTTTGTTTGGATTTTATTTATATCAACGATGTATATATATTGCATATTTAGGTAATGATCTTATATATCTAAAAAAAAAAAAATGTTTGGTTTCAAATGAATCATATAAAAGTGTGCATTAAAATTTTTTCGTGCACAGCAGATTATTGTATTGTTCCGAGACGATTCTTATCAAAAGAAAAAAGACATAATTAGTTTAACAGTAAAGAGGTCATTACCCGTAGAAACGTGCAGCTCACCTACAGTGTATGTTTACCTGCATGGTTAAGTTGTTTTAAATTTTATAAAAATCACTATTGAAATGTTTTAATTATTTATTCATATATTTATTTACTCATTCATATAGGACGGAGAAATTTTATCCAAACACTGAAAACGTTAGTATAAAAACATTGTTTTACAATAAAAAAAAATATTCGGAAACTAAATTAAAGGGGGGAAGTTTCGCTATGAAGGGGGGTGACTGATTAGTGAGACTTTCACTCGGAAGACTGGCTATATAGCGAGACTTCCCCTGGAGAAGTCTCACTATATATCTAGTCTTCCGGGGGAAGTCTTACCATCTAGCCAGCTTTCAGGGGGAACGACACCAGGTACATGCCTGAACCTATAACATACATCATTTGAAAATTTGGATTCGATTGATAAAGTATTAAGACAGAAAATTGAAAAATCTCGAAT